TCCAAAGGAAAAGGCAATCAGGACTCGGAGTAGAGGTAAGATCTTTTATTAGACCAACTAGATTTTTGCAAAAAAAGAAAAATTTAATTGCAAGCTTTCGGGCACAAACACCCTTCATCAGGCATCGGAGAAAAGATTGTAAAAGTTCTCGTGGGTTTTTCTGGGCATTTCTACCTAGGAGAACTTTTACAATCTTTTCTCCAATGCTTGATGAAAGGTGCTTGTGCTGAAAGCTTGCAATTAAAGAATTTTTTTTTGCAAAAATCTAGTTGGTTTAATAAAAGATATCACCTCTACTACAAGTCCTGATTGGTTATTGTGTGAGCAATTTAGGTTTGTCTCCGTATCCCCAGTGGGCTGTCCACCCACCACCCGGGCAGCGGTCTGGTTCCTCAAAGCTGATATAGTTTGTCAGTGCTGAAACCATGTCATCCTTGGCACACTGGAGCCCTCAGCCGGCTGCTCCGGTCTCTGGCCACTGTCTGATCATTTGGTGGCTCTCTCCACCTGCTGGCCACAGCTGATTGCACAATGCACTGCTCAGCCTAAGCAAGGCAGCTGCTAGGATCCTTTCATAGGAAGCATTAAGAGACAAGTGCTCTTACAGGCTGGGCTAATTCCTCTCTGGCATCCTAGCTGTGCTGCCTCCGTTTCCTTCTGCCTGGTGGGGGTAGTGGGGCTGCGCTGTGCCTACACAGCTGGGCTGTGGTTAATGAGACAAGAGGACAGTGAGGAGCCTGTCGCATGCACTGCTGCAATAGGGCTGGTGCCTTCCCTGTTGCCCCGGCCCTGCCTGGCCATCTCATTGCTGCAGCCCTGCATGGGGCACCCGGGTCCTGCAGCCCCTGAGCCAGAGGAGCACCTGTGCTTGCTGCCTGCATCAGCGTGGAGAGCTGTGGGGTCTGCATGGCACCGCCTGCTCACCCTGCCTGCCCTGCTGACAGATCTTCCAGCACATCATCCGCCGGGAGGTCAAGGACGAGGATGCCCGGCACCTCTCCCGCAAGTTCAAGGACTGGGCCTATGGGCCTGTCTACTCCTCGCTCTATGACCTGTCTTCGCTGGACACCTGTGGGGAGGAGGTGTCTGTCCTGGAGATCTTGGTGTACAACAGTAAGATCGAGGTGAGCACGGGGGGCCAGGGAGGGGTGCAGTACCTGGCAGGGGGTCTGTGCAGAGCAGACCTGGGCTTCAGAAGGAGGACCTGTCTTGTAGCTCCCTCAGGCTGCTGATGGTGCTCAGTGCCTGGCAGGATTTGACCCCAGGGCTGCATGGCTATACACCCTGCTGCTCTCAGCCCCAGAGCGCCTGCTAGGAGAGGCGGTCCCCAGCACGCCTCAGTGAGCATGGGGCTGACAGCATCTGCCCATCTCAGCAGGAAGCAGATGCAGCTGGTGCTGGGGTGGCCAGCCCAGCCCAGCCCCCACTCCATCTCTTCCTGGCATGCTTGCAGCCAGCCCAGCCTTCTCAGTGCCCTTCTCCAGTCCCCCCCAGCTCACGGTGGTCCCTCCCTCGGCTTCACCGCAGAACCGCCACGAGATGCTGGCCGTGGAGCCCATCAACGAGCTGCTGCGTGACAAGTGGCGGAAATTCGGGGCCGTCTCTTTCTACATCAGCGTGATTTCCTACCTGTGTGCCATGGTCATCTTCACCCTCATCGCCTACTACCGCCCTGTGGAGGGCATCGTGAGTATCCCTGTGGCCTTAGCAACAGGCTTAGATGGGCTCAGGTACCTATGCAGGCCTCCCTGTGTCTGTTGAGCACTGGCAGGTTTTTGTGACTACAACAGTAGCTGGGCTTCTGCAGGGGAGGCTGGCTGGGTTAGGTGTGGAGGTTTGGGATGAGATAGGAGGGTCCTGATGCAGTTCTCAGTGCTGGCCTGTCCTGCCCTGCAGCCCCCATACCCCTACACGACCACCATTGACTATCTGCGCCTGGCCGGGGAGGTCATAACTCTCTTCACTGGAGTCTTGTTCTTCTTCACCAACGTAAGTGGACACTGGGCTTTGTGGGGGTGCTGGGTATGGGGGTGGTACATGATGGATGGGGTTGTGGGGAAGGGGTAGCTGGGGGAGATTGATTCTTCTGTGTCCCCTGGGGGCCCTGGCCTGCACTCTTCACCCCCCAGCCAAATGACTCCTGTTCCACCCACATCCTGCCACCCCCAGGTGAAGGACCTGTTCATGAAGAAGTGCCCTGGCGTGAACTCATTCTTCATCGACGGCTCCTTCCAGCTGCTCTAGTAAGCACAGATGGCTGCCAGATGCACTGAAGCTGTGGCCCCGGGAGTGTCCAGGGAGGCAAACCCCCATCGCAAGAGAGCAGTGTGCACTGGACCTGTCCATCTCATGGTGGGGAGAAACCTGCTGACCGGGCTGTCCCCAGGCATGGGCACCAAGTGCCCATCTCCATGTCTCTTTCTGGGGGTCATGAGTTGATGCCCTGCGAGAGGAGACTAGTGTGCAAGGAGCAGAAGGGAAATGCAGCTGTCCTCCCCGCTTGCTGCATAAGTCAGGCGAGCCCTGGCTGTATCCCCTGTTCAGGGCAGCAAGTCCTGAGGGGTTCTCTGGCCCCAACTTCTCCCCATGGACCCTGGGGCCCTGCCTGTGGAAGGAGCGGCTTTGTCCCATGTGCCCATAGTCAGACAAATATGTGCTAGCTGCTGCCTTCAAATACCTCAGAGGTGGCTGGAGGCATTGCCCTGGTTGAGCATGTGGCTACAGCCCCTGCTGCACAGTGCGTGGCCCAGGGCATGATCAGGCCCCTTGCTGGGCCTGTCCAGGCTAAATCATGTCCTTCTGCCTCCTTCAGCTTCATCTACTCGGTGCTGGTGATCGTCACGGCTGGACTGTATGTGGCAGGAATTGAAGCCTACCTGGCCGTCATGGTCTTTGCCCTGGTCCTGGGCTGGATGAATGCGCTGTACTTCACCAGGGGGCTGAAGCTCACCGGGACCTACAGCATCATGATCCAGAAGGTCAGGCAAGGAGGGGGCCTGTCCCTGGCAATGGCTCACTGTGTGACGAACCCAGACAGGTTGCCCCTTCCTACCTACTGGAGGGTTTGCTAGTGCTGGCTCCAGTCAGACAGGGCGCTGGTTGAGGTGGGCTGTGGATATGAGCCTGGCAGCTATACTGCTGCAATGGGGTCGATGTCTGTGCGGGGCAAGGTGCTGACTCTGCCTCTGGTGTCCAGATCCTTTTCAAAGACCTGTTCCGGTTCCTGCTGGTCTACCTGCTCTTCATGATCGGCTATGCCTCAGGTAGGCCCCAGCCCGCGTGGGGTTTTGAGGAGCTGCAAGCCTGGTGCCTGGGGCAGTGCAGGGGGTGGGGAACGCAACACTGAGCAGCTCTGCCATGGCATCGCTGCAGAACAAATCTGGGAAAAATCTGCTTTGACAACTGTCAGGCTCCAGCTGTGTGATGAGGCTGAGGTCTCCAGGGTGGGGGGCACAGCCGGGGCAGCTCCGTAGCTAGGAAAAGGGAACTGGGCCTAGGGCCCGGATCTCTCTTCCCCAGTTGTCCCAGGTCCCGGGAAGGTGGTGTTGTGACTGCCTGTGCCCAAGCTAATGCATTCTCCAGAGATGCATTATTAATGTGATTGTGTATTAGTGGAATAGTGTATTAGTGAGCAGAGCCTTGGCTCACAGGAGCCAGCCAAGTGCCTCAGTCTCTCACCCTGCCCCTCCCCTCACCCTGCCCCAGCCCTGGTCTCCCTGCTGAACCCCTGCTCCTGCGGCAAGGACCAGTCCAACTGTACGATGCCAGCCTACCCTTCCTGCCGGGACAGCCAGACCTTCAGCACCTTCCTGCTGGACCTCTTCAAGCTCACCATTGGCATGGGCGACCTGGAGATGATTGAGAGTGCCAAGTACCCTGGCGTCTTCATCATCCTTCTGGTCACTTACATCATCCTCACCTTCGTGCTGCTGCTTAACATGCTCATCGCCCTCATGGGTGAGACGGTGGGGCAGGTGTCCAAGGAGAGCAAGCAGATCTGGAAGCTGCAGGTGAGGCGTGGCCCGAGGGCGCTGGCAGGGCCATCACACCAGAGCCTGGCTCCCCACACACATGCCAGGGCTCCCTGTTCCACCTCCAGTGCCACATCCCCAAGCAGAGTAGCTCGTGGCCCTTCCCCCACAGAAAGGGCCTTCATGGGGCTTGAGCCCTTAAGCTGAGACCTATTGCTCTGGACCTCTCCTTCTGCCTGTTAAGAGTCCACAGCCTGCACACTAGGGCTCAACTGTGGTGTAGAAGGGGCTCTGGCACTTTACCGCCACATGCCTTCCCCTTGCTCAGGGCTGGATGTGGAAAGGCCTGTCTGCGTCCACCTAGTCCATGACCTCCACCTCATCCAGTGTGGCCTCTGGCCATGCTCTAGGCTAGGGCTTAGCTCCCATGGAAAACTAGCTAGGGTGGGGTACCTAGCCCCAAGGGAGAACTGCTTTGGGTCCTGTGGTGCCTACTGAGCTGCTCCCATTTGCAGTGGGCTACCACCATCCTAGATATTGAGAGGTCCTTCCCAGTGTTCCTGAGGAAAGCCTTCCGCTCGGGGGAGATGGTCACGGTGGGGAAGGGCATCGACGGGACACCGGACCGGAGGTGGTGTTTCAGGTAAGCCTTGGGGGGCCACTGCTCAGTACCTCGTGGGATTGCTGGGCCTGTGGGCAACTCCTGGGGGTAGATGGGACACCCCAAGTCTGCTCCAGTGTTTCTCTAGGAGTGCGTTGTCTCCCACAGGGTCGACGAGGTGAACTGGTCACACTGGAATCAGAACCTGGGCATCATCAATGAGGATCCAGGCAAGAATGAGACCTACCAGTACTACGGCTTCTCCCACACGGTGGGCCGGCTGCGGAGAGGTAAGAGTACTGTTCGGTGCCTGCAGTCACCCCAGGGGTCCCTTGGCTGGACAAGGGGGTGGGAAGGACAACGTGACTCCTGGAGTCGTCCTCCCTGCCAGGGGCTCAGTTGCCCCGACTGCTTCTGCAACGGATGTCCTTGTGTGCGATGCTCAGAGCTGTGGGGTGGGAGCTATGAGCCTCCCTGCTCCATGTCCCCTGCCCCTTTTGCAGATCGCTGGTCAACTGTGGTGCCCCGCGTGGTGGAACTGAACAAGAACTGCCAGCCAGACGAGGTGGTGGTGCCATTGGAGGGCATGGGGGCATCCAATCTGAATGACCGGAGGCCAGGACACCCGAATGGTCGGAAAGAAGAGTGCCACATCTAACGCAGGCCACGTGCAGGGGAAGCCTGCCTTTGCCTCTGCCTCTGCCTCGTGAGGGCTGTGGGTGCCCACATGGCCTGGCTCGCCTTTGGGCAGCATAACTGATTTGCACAACAGTCCGGAAGGGACCAAGCAGTGAGGGGGCTTCTGAAACACCCACCCTGCACCCCATGCCCCCCACACCAAGGCAGCTGAGCCCCAGCATCTCCCAGAGCCCTGGGCATGGACCCAAGGCAAGGACAATAGGGTTTTCTGGCCAGGGCCATGGGTTCCTCAGCCAGCCGGGCTGTTACAGCAGCAACAACAGAAGTGAGTCTGACCTCAGGACCCACAGTCCTGCCCACCTGTGCCCACTGACCCAGGACACCTTGGAGAGCAGAGCTGGAGTGAGGCCATGGCCTCTGGTCAACAGAGGGGCCTGTCCGGCAACGCATCTCTGAGGGCCTGTGTCCCGTCTGAAGCTAACTGTTTGGACCAAGAAGAGCCGAGACCCACAGCTGCGTACCCTGGAGCCTGCCCGCTGGGATGCAATGGCTGCACGAGCATCTCGACATTCAGCTGGCTCGTGGGTGCCAGCATGGCTGGGCCAGGGGCTGCAGTGTCCAGCTGACAACTAGCGAACACATCTGCACTCAAGCCAAACTCTCACTGTCTGCAAAGGCCGGCACCAGCAGACTTGACCCCTGGGCACTCCTGGAAAAGTCATGTGGACTGTGCCCAGCTGGTGCTGGGGGCCTGGATATTCCCAGGATGGCCTGCAGATTGCACAGCCCATTCTGGATGGTGTCTGGGGACCTGACTGGTAAGACCCACAGCACTATGCTGCTGATTTCGAGGCTCTCCAGCTGCTTGTGGAGGGCACAAGCCAGTGAACCAGCTGTGCCAGACCCTGATTCAGCCTCCCACTGTCCCAAACAGCTTTCACCCCTCCACCCCAGGGCTCTCCAGTTAGAGGGACTGGTCTGTCCAACAGACTCAGTCGTCTCACTCCCGTGCTGCTGGAGACAGGTTGCCAGCTCTCAGCACAGCCATGTCGTGTCATATCTGTTCACCACCACTGTCTCAAATCAGGAACAGTTCTTGTTGCTTGTTGCCCTCCACCCTGGGCTCTGCCATGCAACACGGCTGCACCTCGCTGCCTCCAGCAATTTGCTGCCCCTTTCCCCACTATGACATGGCATCACAGGGCACTGCCAAGGGTCTCAATGCCCCCCCATTCTCTGCCACCTCATTCCTGATGAGGGGAAGCCATCCAGGTTTGCACACTGCAGCAGTGGGATCCCAGGGCAGGCAGCTGCTGCTACATCTCCTCCCAAGCCCTGCTGCTCCCAGGAACTGCTTGCTGGGAGCAGAGACACATCATCCCCTTTCCTTGCGAGCAGATGTCTGTTTACGGCTTTGTAATCATGAGGAAGGCTCCTGCAACCCAGCCCCAGCCTGCCTGTGACAAGGGGCTCCCTACACACAATTCACACTGTCAGTCAGTCAGTGATAGGGTGTTACCTCCACTGTCTGTCTGGATGGTTCCCTGCACCAACAAAGGGCTTTGGAGCTGTCCCACAGGCATGCAATGGAGCAAATGCTGGGGCAGACTCATACATGTGTGCAGAGAGCTGCTCATGAGAACTTGCACTGTGTTTCTCCTCTCCCAAGGTCCTCATGCCCACACGTGCTTGTTCATGTTCCTGGAGGGGCTGCTGAATGGGCCAACTCCCTCAGCCAGCAGTAGCCCAGCAAGTCTCTGTGCTCGGACCTGGCCAGTACTGTCTGTTCTGTGGAAATCACAAATCCTCCCACCCAACCACAGGAGTGCCTGTCACTGCCCCTTTCCTGAATCCTTTACAGCTCCCCATGCAGGACTGTTCTGTACAGCGTCTTCCTCAGGGATTCATCCAACCCGGCTGAAAAGGTCTCACAGCGTGTTGGTCAGTAGTTCTGGAAATAATGCTGCTGTTACAAGTGGCTCCCCTAACCCCTGGGCCAAGTCCTAGCCACAGCTCAGAGATGCGAGGCATGTGTTTTACAAAGGCTGCTAGCACTGAGTTGGATACTCCAGGCAGTAGCAGCAAGAGACTAGTGGTGGGCAGCACTGCCCTGCAGCTGATGTCTCTGATATTGCAATAAGTACAGAAGGAACCAGGGAGTTTATTGCTCCCCTGCAAAGCTTTTAGGAAGCTGCTTTGCTTTCCCTAAACCCTGTTGGCCCTGAGCACAGCCCCCTGGAGACAACGCTGCCCCAGCCCCAGAGGGAGACTGTGTGAAGGGAGCCGGGCCAATCAAAGCCTTACCCATTACGTACCCAAAGGCCAGTGGCAATGCCACATGTTTTGCACAACATTTGTACACACCTATTTATTTAGTAATAAAACCAACCTGTAAACTCCACTGCCCTGGGCCTTTTTTTTTTTCCACTGCTGTTTCCAGTCCTAAGGAAGCAGAGGTCTACCATTGGCTCTGTGACCGGCTGCAGAAATGGGTGGAATGATGGGTAAATGCACAGGCTCTGTGTCCAGGAGACAGGCTGAAACTTCTGCAAAGGAGGACAGCACAGAGCCCATTCTTAGACCCATATCTGGGGTGAAAGGGTGGCTGGTACAGCTATGGGCTTGGTATCTTGCATCCAACAGACACTTTTTAATAGCAGGTACAAAAACACTTCTTGTACCTGCCAAAAGGTAGATCCAGGAAGACTCCCCACCTCCTTAGCCTGCTGGCAGAGGGGGAAGGAAAGGTAAGTTCCAGCACTCCCACTGGGGGAAGGTTGACTTCCTATCTCCAGGCGAAGATGAATGCAGGGGAGGAATGACTCTCCTTGGCTTTCTCAACTCTCTCAACAGCATTACTAGTGACAGCACGCCAGCCTGGCTTCACTTCCTCTTGGATCATCAGAAAGGAAGTGATGAGAGTCCCTTTGGGAATTCAGACCTCACGTTTCTTTAAAAGTTGTTGAAGAAGATAAAAGGCGGTTCTAGAAAGAGCAAGAGTCTTATCCAGCAAGGAACAGGAACTTTATTTAATTCTACTTCATGCAGAAGCATGAAAAAACCCCCAGTTTAACTTTGGCAAATTATCACAACAACAGAACAAAAAATATCAAGCAGTCTACACAGAATGGTGAAAACACCAAGGGTAACAGGACCCCACAGCTTTACTGCAGAATATGTGTGTCTGGGAGCTTCGCTTTGGCTACGTCGCCTGTAACCATGTCATTAAATAAAGGTAGTCTTTCAAATCACTTCTTCACTTCTCCAAGGTCCTCAATGCTGTCATCATCCACCTAAGACAAAGGAAGCATTTTAAGTAGCAGGAAAGCACATCATCTGCTTTCTACCCAAGTAACTGAAGAGGAGCTCCTTTCCTGATAGGCAGCATGTCATACATAGGGCATGACCTTACAGATCACTTAGGGAGACACTGGCATTTAATGAGCAGAATGAAAGAAACCAGAGAGATGTTTAGGAGATCTATCCAGGTGCTGAAGTGTCCCTCATCCCTGCAGTTTCCAAAGGACTTTGTGTTACCAAATTATGAAGCACTAGTGGGTTTTTTTGCCGGGGGCGGGGTTTGGAAGCTGGGAGAGATTCTTAGGTTTCACGCATCTGTGAAGGATTACAATGAATGTAGAAGTGGTCACACAGTCTTCACTGCGGGCTCTTACTTTGATAATCAGACATTTCTGTGGCTAAGCGGGGATGGAAAACAATTTTCAGAATCACATATCAAAGTCATGGGCTGCAGCCTCACAGCTACAGAATGGAAGACTAGGATCTAGATTTAAAAAAAAAAAAAAAAAGAAAAATGATAAACTAAGATCCTTGTTTACCTCAGGCCACTTCTCCTGTATTACATCAATAATGTCATCTGTAAAGTCTCCTTGAATGATGATTTCATCCTCTCCTGTTACTGAGGCACCACAGGAGAATTTCTGAGCAAAAAACCGCTGTGCTTCCTTAAGATCGATTTCTGTTTACATAAGAAAGTTGGCAGAAATAAAAGTCAGCATCATACGTGTTTCTTCTTAAGCTTAACCCCCAAAATGTAAACCCTGCTTTAATTACGGAGGCAACAGGGACAGTTCTGGAGTTAACCTGCATCAATATTTCTAGTCAAAGCAGAACCATACCCTGTCACCCATGTATAAGATCATGTATTCCCAAATTTGGCCTAACTCTTCATGGGACACTTTATTTTAAATGCAACATTTCTTCAAGTGGCCCCAAGACATTCCTATTTTGGGGATGTATTAGTGTGTGGTGGCAAAAAATTAATTTTAAGAAGTTCGGTTACCACGAAGTCATTGTCACTTAAACTGACCCCTCATAAACCAAGTTATTTAACAAGAAGGGAGCCACGTTGGGTTTACTAAAGTGCATCAAGGAGAAGCTGAATCTTTGTTTCTATTAGCTTCTTAAAGACAATCACAAAGAAAATAAGGACTTTTAAAACAGGCAAAGGTTATCTCAGGAAGAAAGAAACAGTTATACAGACTGAAGTTATACCAAGAGAAGGAGGAATATTTTAATGAAGATTATTATTAACAACATTAGACCCTGTTTGCAAGCAGCTGCAGGCTATAAGACTTGTTAGTTCACTTTACACTAAGTCTTTTCTATAGCACATAAATGCTCATAGCACTTAGATCAAAATCAACGTAAAAGGTAACAGGACAGGTTTAGGCAAATGTTGCTGTTCAGACATTGTAGATAAAAGAGAATACTTGGCTTGCAGTTGATATTTAAGGAGGGCTGCGATGAAGCAGAGACAAGAGGAGAACAAAAACATCAGTAAAGAAAGAGGTGGTACCAAGAGGGGAAGAAGAAAATGGCTTGGCTGTTACCCATCTCTTCCCTTATATCATTAACTCACAAAGCATGAAGAACCAAGTTAATCAAAGCAAACAGCAAAGCAGCAGCACTGGAAGTGTTCAGCTGGCAAAAATCAACTCACCAAAAGTTGCAAGGCCACACACTCTCGTGACATATTTTTTCTTTGCTCTTGGAATTTTTGCTATTGTCACTTTCTGTGGAACAGTCTTCTTTTTCTGTTTTATCTGACCTCTGCCACCTTTGAGATCACACAAAGTTAGGTCAGTATCTACAGAATGCTCTACGTGCATTACAAACAATAGGCGTTTGAGATGCCATTTTTCTTCCCACATGGTAGCTGAAAGAATTTGCCTCCCTTCACTTAAATTTGTAAATCTATATTCATTGTGTATGTGTGCATAGTATGACACCCGATGGACAATTCTTAACCCTGCAATATTATAAGAAACAGTAATATATACATGGCAATAAGGCTGTAGCTTTAATTTTAATTTTTTATTTCTACTCAGAGCAGTGCAGTGGCTGAAATATATTATATTTGAGAAGTAATTTGCCGTGTTCCTAACAATGGGATTTGAGCAGACTTCTACCACCTTAACTCAGTTTTTTAAATGCTGTGAATTACAGGCACATATAGTCACTTGGAACATTACACATTCCCACACAAAGGGCCTGGTTAATGTTAGTCTTCCCTTCTGAGATTTGCCTAAAGTAGTAGTTTAAATGAGAAACAACTCTCCATGGTAAGCTTTCTGTGGACTCTGCATCCCTAGGCTCTCTCTCTAACATAGGGACAGGCAATTATTTTGGGCAGAGAGCCACTTACTGAGTTTTGGCAAGCCGTCAAGGGCCGCATGACAGGCAGGCCAGGGCAGATAAATATTAATTTTCTAAATGTTTTAGGGGCCCCGTGGGCCGGATAGAATGGCCTGGCGGGCTGCATCCGGCCCCCGGGCCACATTTTGCCAACCCCTGCTCTAACAGATGTCTTGTTCCCCCTGTGGCAAGGCACCGTAATAGCACTGGCTGCAAGCAGGTACTCCTGATAGCTGTTGGCCCATCTGCTCTGGTGAGAAAACTAGTGGAGAAAACCAAAGTTAACTACACCAATGTAAGCGTGTGTTTGTCCAGGCATCAGTTCCACGTTTCTGTGCAGGATTCTAGTACCTGATGCCAATCCAAATGAGCAAAAGAGCATTGCATCTCTTCAAAACTGACCCCAGTTACCAGTCAGCTGAACTTTTACAGGCTTCTACAACTTATTTGCCATTTGTTTTTACGTCAGACCTGAGCCATCAGGCATTAACTGTCCTGAGCGATGCACACAAGATGTCCACGCAGCCCATCAGGACTCCTGGAGCCAGATTACGATCTCACCCACCACAGTGCAACTGCCCAACCATGAATGAGTTATTCTACTTGACACCAGCATAATCAGGTTCAGGCAGGCTCTCAAAGCCAAGGTAGCTACAGTCTTTGGAGCCCAGGAGTTCTCCCACCCAGAGAAGGTGAAGGCTTAGAAGAAGGTTTTTGTTATCAAAACCTGCGGGGCTTAGAGAGGGAGGGAGACCAAAAGGTTTTACACCCAGCCCTGCTCTCTTCAGCAGTGACAGAAGCCGCCCTGGTTTGGAAGCATCTCTGAAGCTTTTTCCCTTCAAAGGCTCAAATATTTTTTTCTTTAACTCCAAACTCTCTGGGCCAGAGCTTGCCAACCACTTACATTGTGCTCAGCACTGCACAACAGAGGAGCAGCAGTCCTGACTGGGGTCTTTGGGATGTTACCATATAATAAGTGACTAATAACTAGCCAGGTGTCACCCGTCAGGGGCGTTTCTTTTGCTGCTGCTTCTGTTTTTCTGGTTCTTTTTGGTCCCCCTAACTCCCAGTAATAATTTCTTACTGCCTGACCCACCCAAGCCCAATCACCCTAATTCCTTGCCAAATTTCAAATTCTAGAAGAAAAGAACTAAGCATTTTAAAACACACACACTCGAAAATAAGACTGGATTGCAATATGGCCCTATTATTTGAATGCTCATTTAATACAGGGGCAGAATTATTCTGACATCTGTGGATGAAAAGTCCAGCCCACATAGTGCAAAGGATTGTTTTGCCCCACAAATCCTTCTAAAAAGGCAAACATGACTGGTTACCAAGGCATTAACAGCAGCAAGACAGAGAACTCAACAACACATCTGCAACCACATTCAGCCTTAAAACTGAAGCTTACTGAGTGATTAGCAGTCATTTATGGAGAGCCACAGACATAATGGGCACCTCACAAGCAAATATGTATTCATAATTATTCAGATCTGAGATGGAAAGAAAGTTAATTACTTTGGGTAGACAATTCAGATAGATCAGTGTTTAAGTCACTTGCAAATTCAAGCGTGAAAGATGCCCCTGGGAGCCTGCTATTAGTATTGCCAAAAAAGGACACTGCAGTGAGTGGAAGTAATTCCATTACACGTCACCTAGTCAGGAAGCTAAACAATTCAACGTGCACATATGAATTGTGTTCTGGCATTTTTTTTTCCTGCGTGGCACACAGGAGGAGGAAACCAATGCTGGCAGCGCTGCCAACTCCTGAAAGTAGAAGCTTGCCCAGCAAGTCTCAAGAAGGCGGTAGCTGTTGCTAGACAGACCTTCTACAGTAATCAAAAACTGTCACTAGACAATTTCCCAACTACTGTACATGGTAATGGATTCAGGACCCTCAATACCTACACTTCATCACTAGGCATCCCATAAAGTTGCTGGGAACAAAACAGTTCAACTGACAACACTGGAGTTTAGCTTTACTCTCCACGAGATCTTTTCAGCTACTGCCACAGTCCAACAGAAAGGGAGTATTTCAGGACACATTCTTAAGATGCCAGTAGAGAAGGCAACATATGAAATAACAGTCCTCTCTGAATAAATGTCAGAACTGGCCTGAATGGTCAGGAAAGCCAGTCTGGGTCTTCTGATACTGTCACTACCTTAATTTTAAGATGCTCAACACTGTGCAGACAATTCTTCTGCTATCCAGTTCCAGGGATTGCAATCTGCTTTGAGCATCTCAGCCCCAGGGAGGTCTAAAAAGAGCCCAAAGGGTGGGAAGCTGTGCTAGTGTAGCTTATCCCAAAAGATTATCTTTGGGTAGACAGAATTCCCCCGACCACATATAAAGCAATACCACAAGCAGCTACTTAGACCTTGCCTCTCTTTTGCTTTTTCTTCTCTTCCTCTTCTCCTGCTGTTCCTTGACCTTCTCCTACCCCAGGTTCTTGTCTAGGGGAATTTTCTTTATAAAGAAAAAAAGAAAAAAACTAAATTAATAGTGAACTGGCACACACCAGAAATATGAGACGCACAATCCTCTTGCGGTAACAGTAAGACATGATGTTAATTCCTCTTCTGTTAGTTCAGCATCCCCCTCTGGAGACACTGGGGCTATCTATCTGATGCTTTAGATATATTATAAATTAGTAAATTATATTCCCAATGTTCAAAAGAGACCTTAGCTTGAGGATAAATTCACCAATCCAGAAGCCTCTTCATATAACAGATGCATAGAAGTTCACCATTGTCATTCCAAATGTGACCACTTCTTAAACACCCCTCTGTTTCTGTAATCCTGCCTGTTTAGACAGGCTGAATTTCCCATTTTCCACCTAAGGTAATTTAAAGTGGGTTAAATAATCCTTATTGGTTAAAGGGATGTGACATTAACTGAACAGATGATCAACAGCAATAGAAAATTTCTAACCCTTCCAGAGACCACACGAGAGAATTAAAGTACTCTCACCTGTTGCCAAACTAGTATTTTTAAGGTATCCAAAAGGGGTTTTACAGTCTCCAAAAGAGAGGATCTGTATTTTAGACTTGGCATGATAGAAAGAGATAGGGCAGTGAGGAACATGCAAGGTTACTGCAGCACAGTTATGTGAATCACAGGAAGGCAGTAAAATATTCAGGGTCAGCAGCAGGCTGCACCACAATTTAACAGGATTGTTATTAGCCCCAACTGGAAAACAAAGAAAGATGTTCTTACCTACTGTAAGCTTTGCAAACTCATCTGGAAAGTTCTTCTCTAACCACTGCCTACATTTAGCCACATCAGGCATGTATTCACAGTACTGGAAAGAAAGGGCATGTGCACATTGTGAACCAGGAAACTACAGAATGCAGCACAAACACACACAGCACAGTTCTGTTAGTGGGCAATTTAAATTTAGCAGCAGGCTCATGGCATGATGCACAGGTAACATTTTTTCTCTGACCTGACTGCATGCGGGGATGGGAAACAGAAACAAGCAACACAGGGCTTGTCCAACCCATTTGGGATGGGACTTTGTGCCACCTCACATGAAGCCAGAGAGTTTCTTAGAGACCAAGAGGTCCATTTGCCAGCCAGCTTAGCTGCCTCTCTGCTAACCGATTAAACCTAAGCAGTGACTAAATCTATGTGGTCCTCAACCAGATACCAGCTATGGCATGGAATCAAGAGGAAGTACTGTAGGCAAAGCAGCACTGTGGGGACACCGAGGGGAATAAAACTCAAACAAGACTGAATGAACTCACCTCTGTTGGCAACGAGCAGACTGGGGAAGGAAGAGAGAGATTGTTAAATTTAAATGTCCTTGCTGGGTATCAAGAACAAACCCCTCCATCCTTCTAGTTTAGACAGCTTCTCGCGCCATTACAATGACTTCTTAAGTTCGAAGGCATGGTAGAGAAGGACCTTTACAAACTAAGATACATAGGCAGAGCATAAGCTTTTGTGAACTCAAGTTCATGTCATCAGGTGCTGTGCTACCTACCCTGTCTTCCAACTTACGTCACACTGAACACAGCTAACTACCTCTCCCTTCTCACGTTAACCACACTGGTTGCTAACAAAGCAGAGCACAGGCGTGCGTTACTGATTTTACCTCAGAAAAGGCAAGTTACCAAAGTTCATGCCCCTCTAAAGTTATCTGAATTACCATCTAAGTCACGTCCTAAAACAGAAGTGACAAGAATGAGACTTGTATTCCAAGGTATTCACCAAACCAGTAACAATTTTCACTATCTTTTGCATTCAAGCGGTTACCTTTCCTTGTTGACAGAGCCCAAAAGTAATAGCATAGGGTAAGAGGAGCAAAAAACCAGTGACAGCGATCATATAATCTGTGCTCTGCAACTCTTTACCTATTTTGCACTAATGAAAATGCATTTGCTCAATCTGAAGGTCCTAAATTCAGCCTTCAAAGAAACCGATGCTCACTGCAACATGGAGAGCGGCACACTCCAAGAAGGGATGGCAAGACCCGGTAAGGTTTCACCCTCCTTAATTTCACGCCAATACGGTTTTCAGGAACGAGCCTTGCCGTGCCAGTTTCTTCACATGCAGGCGACACCCAAGACCACCACAACTTCAACATTTGTATAAGGCTAAGTCAGGATCCAAGTCTTAGCAACCTCATGTTTGGGTGTCTCACGTGAATGAATTCAGTAGCTCCAACCTCGCTTGTCTCGACTTAGCTTTATACATGTTAACCACCTTGAAAACTGGTGCATCATGGGCCTAGTCAGAGCAAGTAACCCAGAAGTGTGAGCACGGGACTTCCCTTCAGGTGCAGAGTCGCTTAATGCGCGCAGAGTCGCAGCAACTGTAACTCTGGACTGACCACCTTGCCTGGACCTTGTACCACGGGTAACTTGGCCCCCTTGTCTGCCATAGGAGCACAAAAACTGCCTGTTATTTAGTCAGACCCCAGGTCTATCCCACCCAGTCTCCTGTCTCAGTCTCCCGCCACCTTTTTGTCTACACGCTCCCGCTCCACAACCCCACCAAATCCTGGGACCTCCTAGTCACCCTCCTTGCGGCCCAGCCATGCCAGTTTGACCGGGAAGGGGCCGCTTTCCTGCCCCTGGTCCAATCCCATCTCCGAGCGGAGTTTCGCTGGCTCCTCAGCTTTGCTCCCCACCATACCTCTTGGGGTGCTGGTTATGACCGCGCTCCCACCATCATGACCTACGAAACTATGACCTCGCTCCCAGCCCCGTTTCCTCTCTGGCTGCCCCCATTAATCACCTGACGCCTACCCACGCCCCGGCCCCATAGGCAGCAGCCCACGCGCCCGCCACAGGCCCGCGTGGCGGGGGCCGGCCGAGCTGGGCCCCCCACCGGACTTGCCTCCGCAGTAGAGGACGCGCAGGGGGCAGTCGGCGTCCACCCGGGCGCTGCTCCGCGGGTCCCCCCGGCCGTCGGGCACCGCGCACTCCGCCACCTCCGCCGCCATCGCGCCGGCCCGGGCCCGGTAGCGAGAGCGGGTCAGGCAGGGAGGCGGGAGGGGGGTCCCGGCCGGATCCCGGCGCGCAGAGGGTGCTCACCCCCGCGGCCCCTCAGGTCGCAGTGAGGCGGGACGAGGCAGCTGCCCGGACCCAGCCACACCACATGCGAGGTCCCGCGAGAGCAGCGGCCTCTCGCGAGAGCTCGGAGGGGGCCGGGTGACGCCAGCGAGAGACTTGCTCGGGGAGGCGGGAGGCGGCTGGGTTGGGTTGGGTTTGTTTTGAGCCTACGCGGCCGCCGTAAAACAAAGGCTAGGCGAAGTTAAGCAGGGTTGCAGAGGGGAGACTGGAAGGAGGCCCGGGCGCAGCCTGCAGTGAGTGCGGGCGGGGTGATCCGTAGGGCCCCTCGTGCTGCTTGTAGCTTGCCCACGCGGAACTCCTCCCCAAGAAACGCCCCGCAAGCAAACTCTGGCTGTGCCTATTTTACAGATGGAGACTGAGGCAGGGAATTCCATGCCGCTGCTGAGATCGGAGTATGTCCACCAAGTTAGGTCCAGCTCTGCAAGCATGTGGGCCTGAGGACAAAGGCAGACAAGGGTCTTTGGCTCAATTAATACCCGATAGCTTGCAAAAAAGAAGTAGTTACGCTAGTAGATGCTTTGTTCAATTTTAGGCTATGCGACTTGCCCAAAATATCATAGGAAGCCTGGCAGTAAGATCTGGGTGCAATTCCCAGTCTGATAACTCTAACTGCTAGGAAAGAGTAATACACTTAGGCCTGCCTTCTCTTTCTTGACTGGGCCACGCACAGTGTATACTTCTTGCTGACAATCAGCTGCATGTCTGCAGAGACTTCAGAGAGGCGCACAGTCTCTTTGTCGTCGCACACCCAAACATGCTTACTATTATTTCTGCAAACCAAAGAACCTTTTATTGTGTGTGAATAAAAAGGCTTATAAGTACAGAGAGACCTGAATTTCCGCCTTCCTCATTGGATTTGACATGTACCTTAAGAAGTGAAGGAGTCATCATCAATTTTGGAATGGGAACAGACTTCAACCAGGATGTAGGGTATTGCTGCGGGAGTCGTGGCTGGGGCTGCTCAGCTTTCTTCCCACCTGATTTGACAATTTTATTAGTCATGGTGCCTGTAACTGAAGAAAGCCAGTTAGGCCCTGTGATGCACCACATGTAATGCTACGTCCTACTGTCAGTCTTAAAAAACAAACTTAGCAGGCAGTGCCTGTCATTCTCAAACTTCCCATTAAATCAACCTGGCTAAACATTGATTGATACACAACATTTTTAATCGCTAAGATTACGTATGTTCCTTCTGGACTCCCCTGATTTAATTCACATAGTGCAACTTTTGAAGCTGTTCCTGTTTTCAGGTGGTTCATATTCGAACAAAGCTTTCCTGGGCCCAATTCCTGAAGTACATGCTCATGGGAAAATTCTCAATGTAATACTTTAGTTCAGTTACTACAAATGTTTTCTGGTGAGAGAGAGCGAGCAAATGCAGCCATCAGTTTTACTGGAACAAAACCCAATAGTTAGACAAGCAATCTAACCCTTTCTGAGATGGTCTTTTGAAGGCCTGGGCCTTTCACTGCAAGGGAAGTTTTGCCTGAATAAGTGCCTCTGGATCAGGCAAAAATGCGGTTAGCTGAGCAGCTATTCATGCAAGTAGTTTTGCAAGTAGCCCTACCAATTTCCCAAGCCTGCTTCACAGTCAGCCAGAACATCGCAGCCTGACCCTCAAAGACGCTCTTCTCTTCAGTACATAGCATTACTGGGGCATTCTGGCGTCTTGCAGTAGTGCTGCTCAGTAGATCTGTCAAAGAAACAGATACACAAACACCAACCTCCCATGCAAAAGCACTAAAGCAGGGCACTGTAGCAACCCACCTGTACTGCAACATGCAGATGTGCCCCACGTGTCAGATATGTGGCTGCACAACAGGCGGTTCCATCTTTCTGTGCACTAAATACATCAGCCCAGCTCCTTCTCCCCCTGCTCATCCTAGAAGGATCCAGCAAGCGGCAACCTCACCTGGGTGCTGAGATCCTGCTAGCTACACCTGGCTGCTCCTTGCTCGTGCTTCCCTGACTGTGAACTGTGTTCCCATCCTCTCCAGGAGTGATGAGGGCCCCCAGCCTCCAAGCGCTGTGAACCCCGCGCAGCAGGGGAGGCCAGGGGTCCTGGACGGCTCGGGGCGCTCTCCCTGCTAGCACTGCCAGGGAGGAGGCAGCTGGCAGACCCAGCTCCCCAGGGCCTGGTTAACAGGCGCAGACAAGGGAAGCTTCCTGCCAAGGTGGGGAGAAGGGTTTATTTTGCAAGTCTGTGTGAGTAAGAACATAAGTGCTGCTAGGGGCCGGGACAGACCCGGCGTCCCATTGGCCAGTCCTGCTGCTTTCATGTCCTGCTGAGAGGCAGGAATAAACCCCCAGGGACTTTCTCTGTGCCACGCAGCAATTTGCAAACCCCCTGCTCCCCGGGCAGCCGGGCCCCTTCCCCAGCCCTGCAAGGACCAGGACGCAGGGGCTCCTCGCGTGTGCGCAGGCGCGGGCCGCAGGCACTCGGAAGCGCGCTCCGTGCGCCGGGGCGTTCTGAGCCTCGCGGCGCCCAGTCGCCCGGGTCCTGTCCGCTACGGCAGAGCGGCGGGGTCACACCTGTGCTGTTCGCCTCGCCTCGCGAGCCCGCGGGAGCGGGGAGCCCGCAGCCATGCCCCGCTACGCCCAGCTGGTCATGGGCCCGGCGGGCAGCGGCAAGGTG